AGTTGCAGTTACAGACAGACAACACAGACGGTCTCATGGAGGTTGCTAGGCTCCACGATGCAGAGCTCCGGATGCTCTGGGTGAACGAGCCACCAAAATAGAAATCGTAAATACGTCTTATAAAAGTCGCGTTCGAAGACGGGAAGAGGTGGGCGGTGGATCAGGCCGCCACGCTCCTCTGGATCTCACACAGGGTTTCTATTACCCTGCCGTGTACCCAGAGTCCCCACGAGATGGATGTGGAGTCCTCTTCGGCTTGGGCGGAAACCGCTCAAGCCTCTTATACGGCTAACAGGCCAATCGCTAGCCACCACGTGTGAATAATTTAGCACTAGCCAATCACGGGGAACGAATTTGCATACCGGTGGCGGGAACTCTTTTGCACCGTGCATTCCTCTTGCAACATGAGCAATGCACTCTGCAAAAGAAGCTGCAGAAAAGGCGGGAAACTCATCCCTGCACTGGGGTTTCCTCTTGCTACAGGAAACTCTCCCATGCAACGCTCTGCAACTTGGCGGGGATAATTCTGGTGCCGAAGCACACGCACACAATCATGCCTTTTGGGTCATGACACTCCCATAGGTTGGGACTAGTGAAATGCAGATGCCAAGAAACTGCCTGTAGCAAAATTTGGTATTAAAGTGTTTCCAGTACACCAGAGTTGAATTGAAGAGTTCCAGCAGCCCCAGGCATACACAGCCAGAACCTGACAGGCTTTGAAGTAGGCATCCAGTCTGCTAGTATCTGCCTGGAAAGATGTTGTGTTGGCTTCTCCTTCTTCACCATCTCAAACACTCACTGAAGACAGTTCCCAGTCCCATCTTATCTTGAAAACATACTAGGCTGTCAGTCTTATTGTATATTCATAGAAGATGTCAGGCTATACTGCCTATTAGTTCTGTCTTTCCTCGAGCACTTTCATGCTTTCCTCTGTTGCTCTTTATACAGTGTTACTATGTACTGTACATAAACATCTTAATTAGGATTGTCTCAAATAATGCAAACAGCATCATGTTT